CATCCCATCCCACGCGGAACCCTGTTACACATTTTGTATAAACAAACGGACAAATTGTTACATGATATCATCCATATAATATAATCAATACACTTGTCATACTCTCTTTATACTAGCTCTCTTTTGGAAAAGGAATGAAAAAGATTTTGATATGTGCGCAGAGAAAATTTTGATTGCAGTATGGGCAAACGTTATGGAATTTCATTTTTTTACATTTTAACATCTATTTATCGTCAATGGCAAAAGTAAAGTCTTTGAAACGTTTATTATTCATTGAGACTATTTAGATCTATCATCAGTAAAAAATTTCATTAGCTTTCCTTTAGCTCGAGCTAAGCTGTACAGAAAATCCCGGCCATTATAGAAGTTCAAAAACTGAAGTTTTTTTTTCAGTAGAACTGAAAATTTAGCATTTTACTACAAAAACAAAGCGACATACAAATAAACTTTTTACATAAAAGTCATTCTGTTTTTAACAAAACTAACTGCATTTAATAATAAACTGACAAATAGAGATGGTTTCTGAACGCATTATCTTGGTTCGTAGACATTTAACATTTCTACGAAGATCGTATGTTGAAAGAGGGCTTCGTAACTGTTGAAGAATTTTTTTTTCTACTGATTGATCCTTGTTTGATGATTTATGCCGCAACCATATTTTACATAAAATTTTCGAGTTGTCCATTTCAAGTAAGATTTCGCGTGTTCAGAGTACTTAATGTTGCTCAAGAATAGAAATACTTCTATTTTAAATACTATCAATCGTCTCTTTTCAATGGTAGACTCAGCTTTCTTTATTGTTAAGTTAAAATTCTCCCGATATGTGGCTAACTGATGGCTGACCATGCCGATCCCTCAAATGATAATAAAAGGCGCTGGAAAAGTTTTGCACCTTCTCAGTAAATTGATGATATCCTTGACAAATATATATATATATGGTTTAATTAATCGAAAATATGTAATTTTGTAGAGGAAGATTAGAGCTATCATCTGAAAAAAGAATACTATGAAATGTATAAATGTAATAATTACAATATTAGTACTATTTTACTAATCTTGAGTGAATATTTTCATCTTACATTTTTTGGAGAAAAATTAAAAAGAAATATTTTTTTTGTCATAGTTGTATGCTTTTGTTCACAGAGATTTTTTTGCTTTCATATTGGCAGTCTTATTTTATAAAGCTTACTGTTTCCAATTTATTCTTTAATATGCCAGTCACTTGGATTTATGTCTCTGACAGTCTTATTAAAAACCCCCAATATTCATTTCAAAGCCAGATATATGAAATATAGCCAATGGAAAATTTGTGAGATATTATTCGACAAGATTTAACTAAATATGAAGATGTCAAACAAAAAATTATTGATATACGAAAAAATTCTAGTGTAAAAAAATGTGAGAAAATGATCAACAGTATTGCAAAAAGTTTAAAAGCAATCGTACGAAAACAAAGTCCACGAATGGCAAAATTTGATTATTGATATATATATATATATACAAAATGATAATCTAATAAACTTATAAATCATTTACATATTTTATTGAAAAAAATTGTTTTAATTTTTCTCAAAAAGTATAAGATGAAAACATTCGCTCAAAATTAGTAAAAATGACCATAGCATTGTACTACATTTATGCATTTAGAAGTATCTGTTTTTTCATATGAGAACTCTAATCTTCCTCTGTAAAATTACATATTTCGATTGATTAACCATATATAGGTTTGTCAAAGATATCATAGATTTATTGAGAAGAATTGAAACTTTTCGATCACTCTTTAGTATTATAATTATGCCGAACATTTGAAAAAATATATTACTAAATCAAAGGTAATAGAGGTGTACAGGATAAGCTGTTCTTCGTACCCTGACTGACGAGGATACCCATTCGGGTGATAATCGCCATTTGAGCTTATATTTTGCTCATAGGCAAGACTCATAGTGTAGATAAAAACCCTGAAGTTTTTTCCAACAACAGCACTCATGACCCTTATGATATCTTGGAAATTTCAGCTCAAACTGATGTGTCTCTGTTGAGACAACTAGACCAGTGACAATTCCCGATTAAACAATTGAACTGGTAATCAGTTCTTTCTTGACAACTGGAACAAGTGCTGAGTAGAATCACTAGATCACCATTATTGATGGAACCAGTACATTTGAAAAAAGGCCGGTCACTGCACCCAATTCTCGATAAAAGAACCAGTTCTTAGAACTTTGGACTGTCAGAGATCTAGAGATAATAGGTTTTCAGAAAAGCGTTACTTTCACATGAGAGCTTCAAAAATAGACTAGTTTTTAGGTACATTATATCTTAAGACGAAATCATCCGTTTGAGCTGAACCTTTTAGGTATAAAATAAGGACCATGAGATCTATTTTGGAGCTGAATTTCAGGCTGAATTCTAGTTACGATTCTTTTCCCAATATCCTGCAATAGGCTGAGAGTTCAGTAAAGTGACAACAACTCGAGAAGAAAGACCTCATGACAAGAATCTTTTCAAGCCTTTTATCTACACTATGAGTCCTATCCACGAGTAAAATATAAAACTCAAGCGGAGATCATTAACTAAATGGGTTCCCTCGCGAGAAATATTTTCTTACTCTTATTCTATCCTATCCTGCACATCTCCAAAAGATAGCTATGTTTTTACATAATAAAAAAAATAGAAAAAAAAACTCATTAATTGTCACAAATCATCCGTCTTCTTTGGATTTACAATACCATTTAAAGCCATTGGAAACTACACATAATTTGAGACAAAAGGTATCAATGAATAGTTCGGTGTTTGTTTGCGACATTCTTCAACTTTTTTGATAATTTTTTTTATTTCACCCAATTCAATGTTATTCGTTTTATCTTTATTATAAAGAAAAAGAATTCATAAGTGTCGATCACATCTTTAATTCTCTTAGAGATCCTAGAACATTTGAACTTGTTTTTATCTGTTGTATAAACTTAATCAGAAAGAAGTGTTAAACAATAGGACGAGAGGTTTGAACGTACAATCCACGACAAATATAGCTACAATATCAAAATTTAATACAGAAATATAAAAGAGAATTGAGCGTGCTACGAAAGCGCATCTATTACTATCTGTGAATAGAAAGTAAGAGATAAAGTATCTGTCTTTCAGTCTTTTTCTACATTCATTTTATCCTATTATAACTTATATCTTCTTCTAGTAATAAATACCCATTAATAAACTAAAAGACTTAGCATTAAGCTCCAATGCATTTTCACTTCAGAATTTTATCGATTCAACAGTTCTTTTTTCTTTTAAAATTTTAATATAAATATTTTAGGCATATAATGGCCGACACAAGTTTGTTCAAAAATTAATGCAAGAAATAAACATTGATTCCTATGGATTATGTTTAAACAATCGGCAAGGTCTTACAGCTCGTTTGGTTAATAATACAGATACATATAAAAAATATAAATTTGTTATTGCTATTGAAAATTCTAATTGTATTGATTATATAACTGAAAAATTAATTAAAGTTGTCGCATCTGGTTCTATTCCTATTGTTGCTGGTATTAATGGTCGACCAGATTATCGACGTTTTATGCCTGAACATTCATATATTAATATATATGATTACACATCAGTAAAAGCTCTTGCAAATGATCTTAAACGTATTGCAAATAATAAAACATTATATGAATCTTATTTATGGTATAAAAAACATAATAAAAATATTACACAATTAAGTACACTTACACTGGACGAAAAAATAAAACAATTCGCTGATGTTATTGGTTCAAATGCAATACTGATTAAAAATGGTATTATAAGAAAAGAAAAAAGTGACGATAAAATTTGTAAACTTATACGTTTTATTCGTCAAACACCATGGCAACATATTGCTACACATCATGGAAAGCAAAGAAGGGGTCCTGGTTTTGCTTGTCTAGCAAGAGACCATTTATCTACTTATTTTGATTCATTGTCTTCTAATAGCAGTCAGACAACAAAGCATTTAGTTGCTCGTTGATGACTGGAACAACTTTTTATTGTTTTTTTGTTTTGTGATAATATTATTTTGTTTTGAAAATTTTTTGAACAAGAAAAAATTTTTAATTTACATACTCAAATAAATGAATCGATAGAAAGAATGATTTTTTCACGGATATTGGAAGTACAATGAAGCGAATAAAAAACAAGCGTTGAAATCTTCTGATTTCCTAATTGATAGCAATAATGATCAATAATTAATCGTTCATAAAAGAGTCTCATTGTTGAAATTCAAATGACGTTGATCTAACTGATTCGATGTTCGTATAAAAAATGAATTTTATCTTTTTTGGTGCATTAGTATTAAGTGTTTTAACTAATAACAAAAAGCTTGCTAGTGCAGGCTATTTGACGTTTAAATACGAAACTTACATGTGTTCTTTAGCCTCATCATATTAATACAAAATACGTTAAATAAAAAATTTTTCACAGACTACATTTATTTTCCAAGATAATTGATCGTCAGAAAAGCAATCCGTCTTATTTATTTCTACATTTTGACCAAAAATTTTTTCCTTTTTTATTTCTATACAGATGCCTTATTTTGTTGTTGCCAATGTTACGAATCTCTTGTTACGCCTCTTTTTCACATTTCGTTTTTCTTATTTTAACATTGTTATTATTATAAATATTGAATTAAATGGCAAATAAGACTGTTGTACATATACATTGTATCTATATCAGTAGGTCTTAACATACTATTATATGACTCGATAAGCTCACAAACACGAATATTGATTGTTTCCTAAAGTCAGTTCACGCTTTGTGTTTTATGTTGACTATATGACAATTGTGACATATCAGTGCATCACTACCCATCATCCTTGATATCTTAGATATAAATTTTTGTCTGTGCAAATAGGGAAAACTCCAGTATTTAGAACATTCGTAAATGTATTCCAATCATTCAAATTCTGAGAACGACTTTGAAATGTTCTAGAACAGTCTAAGTCATGTCGTTAAAGCCGTTCAGCGCCTTTTCTCGTCACTAACGAGCTCTGAGTAAATAGCTTGATGCCTGTTGCCCTTGATTACTAAGGTCTGTAATGAGGGGTGCAAAACTTCAACTTAAAACTTATATTTACTATTTTCTTCGAAAATATATACAAATTCTACAAAATTAGTAGTTAGAAATATCATTTTGTTACTAAAGAAAAGTCAGATAATTATATTGAACTTGATTGTCAATTTATCCATCAATATACTTAATTTTATATCCAATGTCAAGTTTCATATGTTAAAAAATTGGCTTAATTTGTTTTAGAGTACGTTCTTTATTAAATTATGCAATTTATAAATGAGAACAGTTATTATAAAAAATCTTCTTCTGATAAAGTACTTCAATTAAAATATTAAGTAATCTAATAGAAACACATCGATACTTTCTTGTTAAACTCAAACTCGTGTATATTACTTACTGAAAAAAAAATCAATGCTCATTTATAGTTTACAAAATAAAATTTAAGTATGAACTAAAATTTTAACAAAATCACCAGAATTACATAATACCAATAAAAATTGTCAAAGAAATGTAGCTAAATTTTCATTGATGTTGCGATAAAAAATTAAAATGATCTAGAATGCATAATAGAGATGGAAATTCGAATAGATATTGACAAAACACGATGTATATTGTTGATTGCCTAAAAAAAGCCTAGTTTTTGAATTTTAATCGACAGTGTTACTTTTTCTACGCTGTTGATAAACTTGGTCTTTATAAATAAAAACTTACTAGTCTCCTACTTCAAATAGGAAAAATAAATTTCTGATTAAACTCAATCTGTAGCGGAGTTATACTAAGGGAGAAAAAGCGAAAGTTCCGTATTTCAGCGTACGCCGAGGGTATGTCAAAGCTATTTCTAGAAAATAGCATTGGTATGCTCTTGAAGTACAGAATTCCTGCTTTCTCCACCTTGAGTTATATGCATTTATTAAGTGATCATGACTTTTGAAACATCCTGTACATATACTCTATATGTTATCTAGAAATTGGTTAGCATTTCAACAATACATTTCATATAAAACTAGAAAAAAAATCAATTTGTCATTGTCAATATTTTAGTCAATATTTAATCAAGACATTTTCAATACTTCGATAAACTTCAAATCTAATGTTTATTATATGATAAAGTTAACAAAAGTTTTTCTTTTTTTTTTGCATAAGTAAAAATTTATGCATTACGAAGAATTTTTACACAATCGTCTTTATAAAACATAACCATTAGTAATTGCCAAGGATAAGGAGTCTTGTTAATATCTACTGTTAGTATATTTGTTACTTTGATGCGTTCATTAAATAGTTTAATTTGTTTTTTATCACAATCAAATGTAAGTTGTAAAACATCATTTGTACGTATTAAAAAACTATTATAACCATACTTTTTGCAATTGCTACTACAACGGCCATGTTCATAAACTTGATTAGAACCGAACCATCCAACGCTATAAGGATATCTAAAAGCATCTTCTTTTAAATGTACTTGATATGACATACAACCAAAGAAAATACGATAAGGCTGTTGGCACTTTTCAAGTCGAAATTTTATTGTATGACGACCATAAGAATAAAGTAAAGTACCACTAATATATGCATAATCCGAAATCAAACCAGTATGTTTGACAAGAGAACCTTTCTTTTCGAGTGTAACAGGTCCAAGCACATCTAAACATTTTTCTTGAACCTTTAAATTTAATTTACTTGTTAATAAAGGTAGTTGTTTACTATTTGTAGATTTATCATTGTTAAAATCACTATTTTCAACTTTGATTAAATGAATAATAGATTCATCATCTTGAATAATTTTAACTGAAGATGGTGATGTAATTTCTAATTTAAGTTTTTCTAATTGTTTTATCCAACAAATAAAATCATTTTCTGAATAATCATCAGCTTCACGAGATGAACAAAGATCAATAGCTAAATCATGACATGTTTTTGAAAGATTTTCTTTTGTTTGGTCGAGTATTTTTCTAACATTTTGTCGTGCAATTTCAGCAGTAAGATGAATCTTTTCTAAAGATTCTTTTTCCCATTGATCAATTTTTCGTAATAATGAATGATCAATTGATATGTGTTCAATGTCATGTTGAAGTAAATCATGTTCTTGCATAATACTATCTAATTGTTCAGCTAAATATTGTCGATGTTCATTAACATGTTTACCACAAAATATTTGTTGACATCCTTCACAAATTAATATGCCACTACTCTTGTTACATGTAGCACACTGTTTTTTAGTATTTGCACTAGTATTCATACTCTTTGTTATATTAGATTTGTTTCGAATGTTCTAACGTGAAAGAATTATAATGAAGAATACGTTTATTATTTCAAATACTTTCATTGGAATTCTATATAAACGAATGAAAAATAAGATTAAAATAGAGAAAGACAATTGAAAATGTTTTTCTTACCAATAAATATAATAACACTAGGACTTAACACATTTATGCTTTTGTATGTTAAAAATGATGACTCATTGAATTATAACAGTGATTTCATCAATTGAAATTCGGATCGGAAAATATGTTTATTTTTTAATTAAAATTTTTTTTCCAATGACTAACAAAACTTTTTTGAATATGTTTTATGCAATTATATAGCTGCAGTAATATGTTTATTAGTATCTTATAACTATTCTTTGGCTACAGTTGATAAGTAAGAAAGAGAATTCAGTACGAGTATTTATGTTTTATAATTTATTAATCGTAAACATTAAAAAATAGATCTATCATATCATGATATTCAAAACAATAAAAGGAAGCTGATCCATCTTTCTTAATTATTGTTATCAAAACCAAAAATATGCCAGTATTTCTCATTAACTTTAAGAAAAACACTAAGATTCTCTTTCATTTTTTTTACATGGTTTACATCAATACTCTACAAAATCTTCCTTCTTATTTACTTTTGCAAGTTTGATGAAAATGAATGAGTTAAAATTTTATATTTGCATCAATATATACGAAACATCATCGATTAAGATCGAAGACTCTTCTTTGTACAGTAGCATCATTAGTTAATTACGTCATAATGCCAATGGATGATTTATATTTGTGGTTTATTCATTAACCGTGCTAATTGAATAGGAACTATTCCATTTGTGTCATAATTCTATTACAAACATTAGAAATCTTGCGCATATCTTCTGAGTAGTTCCTATTATGTTTCTTCTATTGCCCGAAGAATTGTGTTATATCATGTCTAACTCTGTATATTGAATGTGTTTCAAAAAGTAAAAATGACCTTCAGTATGGAAATATTTGTACAATACCAATTGATCTTTACATTTTTTCACATTTTCTTCAAACCTTCGTCTCTAAGAAAAAAGTAACGAGTTCTACATATTTCTCATGTATGATACTTGCAATTGATCTGATGTTGTTGTTAGATCAATAATAAGCATTATTTGTCGAAGGAGTCTCTCCAAATGATAGAAATGTTTTGAGACGAGGCAAAAATGATAATGACTCATGCCATTTGTGTTTTCTTTTCGAATTATAGCCGTTTTATAGAATTTCTAATTGAATGCAGGATATATCATAAAAAAACCAATGACGTCTTTTCGTTTTGAAATTTTGCCGATAAAGAGTAGTAAAGCAATATCGCTTTCTACTTCTATTATCTGTTCTCAAATACAATAAATTACTCGATCATAATCGAACCGGTTTTCATTCCTATAGTTTTATATAAATTAGTAGTTTGAAAAAGAAAAAATATTTATGAAACGTCGAGATCTCATTAATTGTCCAGCCGCGTTCGAGTATGATCTCATATTTGAATTCTAATCGACCTGGCGAGTTTGTCCCTGGACTGATGCTTCACACTAGACTGGATACCCAATACTCGATCGGCTTGCAGGATATTAGTCTCAGTAGACCCTATGTAATGACATAAGTCTCGTTTAAAAAACTTCTTATCACCTGCAAAGGTTCCTTCGTAGCGATGATTAGGATTTATTATTTGTCGTATTTCTGCATTCACATTCCTATAATTTCGCGGTATTTTTCGATTGAAAATAACAACTTTTCTATAGGTTCTGACCAGATTTATTGACCGGAAAATTTCGAAGATATACAAAACGGATGTAGATTTTTATTTTATTATCGATTGAAAAATTTACAATATTGATAATGACTTAAACTATCATTCTCGTTATGAAATACTATGATTAACCATTGTTTTGATTATTCAACTGATACAGTTTCATTGATTCTAATAAATGAATATATTCTAGACTTTTATTGATTCAAAAAAAAAAACTTCAATTTCATTGTTGTACTTGTTAATTAGATCATCTAATTTAAGAAAAGATTTGAATCAATAATAATAAAATACTTTTATTGTTCGAAATCAAAATTTATCGTTTAGGCAATATTCTCACACAATCATCTTCATGAACTAATACAACTAAAATTTGCCAAGGAAATGGTGCTTTATCTATATCAACTTGAAGTCTATGTGTTTTGTTTATACGTTCATGAAATAATTCAATCTCTTTTCGATCACAATCAAATGTAAGATTTAAAATATCATTTTTTTGAATTTGATTACTATCATAATCATGCATATCTAAATTATTATTCCAAATTCCATGTTGATAAATTTCATTATAACCAAACCATCCAACAACAGATGATGAATTATAATTAAGTACTTTTTGAACTACATTAGATGATATACAACCAAAGAAAATTATATATGGAAGAGTACATTGTACAATTTTAAATCGTGTCGTATGACGACCTTGAGAATAAAATTGTTTACCAAGAATATGTGCATAATTTAAATCAGGACCAATATGTTTAATAATTATACCACCATTTTCAATAGAAGCAGAACTAGTTGTTTTGAAAAACAATTCTTCAGAATTAGGATTTAATGGATTATTAATATTTGGATTATTTTTGTAAATATTTGGAAATTTATTATGTGTAATTACGATAGGATAAATTGGAAATCGTTGATCTTCAATTAATTCAATTGAATATGATGATCTAATTTCTAATCGAAGATCATTTAATTTTTTTATCCATCGAATAAGATCTTTTTCTGAAAAATCATCTGTTTTCATTGATGAATTAAGATCATATGCGATATCGCGAGATATTCTTATAAGTTGTCTTTTTGGCTTATCAATTAATTGTCGTAGATCTGCTCGTGCAATTTCGGCAGCTATTTTAATTTTTCTAATCGATTCTTTTTCCCACTTATCGATTTTTTGTAAATGAAAATATTCATTTGATGATCGTTCAATATTTTGTTGAAGTATATGATGTTCTTGCATAATATTTTCTAATTGATAAGCTAGTTCTTGTCGATGTTGAGCAGCATGTCTAGAACAAAATGTTAATTGACAGCCTTCACAAATCAATAAACCACCAGTTTTTCCACATTTAGCACAATGTCTTTGACTAACGTTGTTGTTATGCATAGTTTTTATTGTCGATATGTTGTCAAAAGATCGGTTGCGAAAGCGAAAATCACTATAAAAATTATATTTTAGGAATGAATGAAGAAAGAAACAGAACGAAACATTCGTTGTTTTGATTACCATTTTATATTATGAGCTTAAAAAAAAGCCGAGAATTTTGAAGAGGTTTTTCTTTTCTATGGTATCCATTTTTTTTTGATTAAATCTATCGATACATTGGCTGATTGATTTTATTATATGTTAAAATTGTTTTATGATCAAGTCTGAACATATTGGAAAAAAGCTCTAATAGCAAATGTTTCTAAGTTAAACATATTGAATTCTAGACTAAAATGAAAAAGATAAATTTGAAACTAATAAAAGAATTATAAAAAAAATAATTCTGTGTTCGGCACTTTTTTGGGTTTTGATCATAGGTGCGGTACTGGTCAAAAATATAAGAACAATGTATTTTTGATCTTAACTCAAATTCAAATAGTGGTTTAAATACCTAATGAAGTTCTATATTCAATGCATTTCATACCGAAATTCCATAGATGAACTATGAAAGTAAGATTTCTGAAAAATCACACACGATCGTTTTCAAGTCTCAGAAAATAGTGAAAATTAGTTTTCAAAAAGTGTCATCTTAAAGATCAAAATTGTTGAATACAATGAGGAGTCATAGCATTTTCTACGATCTTTATTTAAAATGTTACGAACATCATAAACTCTGAAATAATGCATTTTTTAGTCAATTTCTAGCAATGTTATGATAAGTTTCCTTTTGTGATGCTTATATCTTTCTGAGGAAAGGTTGTAGAAACTGCGCTGACTCCTCATTTTATTCAGGATTTTGTGCTCTTTAAGATGATACTTTTTAGAAGTACTTTTCACCATTTTCTGAGGCCTGAAAACGGTCGTGTATGATTTTCAGAAATCTTCCTCCCATAGTTCATCTATGAAATTTCGGTATGGAATGTGTTTGAGAGGAAACTTCATTAGCTGTTCAACTCATCGTTTGGATTTGAGCTAACTGCTTGATATTGTAGAAACATATCAAAAATACGTTAGTCTTGTATTTTTGACTATTACTGTATATCATGAATGTATTTTTTTCATTATCAAATCTTTCATAATGTGCTATTTCATCATCTTTTTCTCTTTCGAATGCTTCTAAAAGACATGCAACGCCTTACTCACAGTTTGAGTCAATTCTTGAAACTTAGTCTAAACTCTTCGAAATCGAATTCTTTTCTACTAGGGTATGTGTCTCAGTTAATTGCGAATTAGTCGAATATAAATGGCTGTAAGTATTGATCTTAATAGTTCTTCTTATCGTCGGCACGGCAACTTTCATGTTGTACCATCATCTGATCCTTCCAAAGCATCAGGGAGTAGGCTATAAGTACTGATCATTCTAAGTAATAGCTTCGATTGAATGAATTTTCGGTGTGGCAACCATTCTATTGACTAGTTTTATTAATAAAATTATCCGTCCATTCCAATAGCTTAAAAGTCTCTTCGTGTAACTGTCCTGCTGGTTTAGCAAGACCATTTAACTTGTGTCATATTAGCAATAAAAAAAAAGTACATTTAGTTATAAAGCACACATAGAATAATGCGAGACTGCAAGAACATTAGCACAATCATATCATTTTTGCTGTTTTGATGAATGTTATATACATTGAGCAATAATAATGTGAAATGGAAGATGAAAACAATTAACGATTACAAAATACGAATACTCACAGATCTCGGTAAGATTAAGAGAATACGAAAACTATTTATTACTTTCGAGACGTATTTAATATTGTACGACAATCAATGCATTTTTTTTAGTACTTGAAAATGGCATTTGTTATTCTGATAACTACTTAATAAAGCAAATAACATGAACCTGTTTGACTTTGTTATAGTCATCGGAACATATTGATGGTAATGTCCGTTTCATCATAGAAAATGTCATAGTTTTTTTTTTCGATGAAAAACGCATGATTATTTTCTATTCATCAAGTATTAAGCAGCGTTTTCTTTAGTCGAAAAAGGGTTCAAAAATAGAGAATCAACAGAAATACTTTCCTTATTAAACTACCTTCCTATACCTGTGCTAAGCCTATTAAGAATAATTTAATAAAACAGACTGTTGTATATTATATTGCACATTATTTGATACTATCGTATTGTTGCGAATATCATCAGAAAAACCTTTTGTAATATTAATTTATGAATACTACAGATATCAATATTATGATCTTTATTCAGTCAACAAATCAGTCTGAATCTTATTTAGCGAATGTAACTGAGATGTTTGAAGAATTCTAACACATTCATCTGTGTCAGTTAAAACGATTAGAAAATGGCCAAGTAGTCGGTACTTGGTTAATATTAACTCTAAGTATGTGTCTTTTGCTTGTATCTATGTAATATAATTCGATTTGTCTCGTTTTTTCACAATCAAATATTACATTTCGTTGCTATTATAACTATGTAAATTAGGATTACCAATATGTATACCATGTTGACATACTTTATTGTAACTTAACCATCCAAAAGTAAAAGAGAAATTAATAGAAATTCTACTCTGAATCACTTAAGATGACATACAACTAAAGAGTATACCATATGGCGCACCATACTATTTGATTTTAAATGAGATCATATACCGATCGCTAGAATAGAGCTATTTATCAAGAACACATTCATAATTTGAATCATGGGTATTATGTTTATCGAATAGGCTTTTGTCATTGAGTATGACAGTACCAATCATTATTGAGAATCTGCCTTGAATCGTCAAAGTTGACACCTTTTGTGAAACTCATATATATTTTCGAAGAAAATAGTGAGTATAAGTTTTAAATCGAGATGTTGCGGCTCCCCTCCCGCAGGTCTCCACCATTATAGACCTTAGCAACCGGGATTAAAAGTCAAAGGTCATTGAGTACATTTCCCTAGCAACGGAGGATAATAAGAACTGGCTTCTTTCCTATGGTTCCTTAGCAACCATATGGCGGAAAGCCATACAGTATTGGATATGTTTCCGTGGCACCGAGCTTCTCCATTACAGACCGTTACAAACACATTAATTAATTAGCTAATTAACAAAATAGCGAATAAAATAATAATTAATTAGTATTTAATATTGAAAAAAATTATTTTTTAATATTTTAAATACAAAATATAATATTCAATATTTACTATGTATTAGTTTATTTTTTTTTTTAATATTTTATATTTTTAATGTTAATGTTGAATAATATTTAATATTTCGTTGTTAAGCCATTATAGGACGGTGACCGACCGTCATTGACATGTCATTAAAAAAATAGAATCTATGTGTTAGAGATGTATATGACAATACAAATAACTTTTTTCAATATTATGATGTTAAATGAATGAAATAATCTGATAGAAAAGTAATTATACATATGAACAGTTTCATTACAGAAAACTCCAGAGCGCGCGTACAACTATCAAAATTGTTATAATTCTGATTTATTTATCTATTTGATATTTTTTAAATAACTTATTTTAAAACCTCTGACCATATGTGTGAAATTTATAAGACTCAGAGTTTGTGAATTTCACATTTCGGCCCCTCTTGGGGCCGCACTGACAAGTGTTTTTTTGTCATATTCTAGTCTTGAATTGCAATCAAATCAATAAGAGATTATTCATTTTTGATTAATTTACTGAATAATAAAGATATTATTTTCCAATGAAGCTGTTTTAACTGTTGCATCCATCGATTTGATTCATTTTCAGAATAATCATCAGTTTCGACCTGAGACGAACAAAGATTCATTGCAATATCATGATATGTTTTTTAAAATTGTTCCTTCAATTTGTCAATCTATTGTCGTAGTTGTGCTTCAGCAGCATCAGCAATCATTTAGATTTTCGGCATTGATTCTTTTTTTCCATAAATCAATGTTTTTCAATGAACAATATTCATTGATTGATTATCTAAATTCTTGGTGAAGCATATTGTGTCCTTTGATAATATCATTTAATTGATTAGCTGATTGTTGTCAATGTTTATTGGTATCCATTACAACTCATAACAGCAGTGCTTTTATTACATGTTATACCTTGTTTCTTTCTAGACATTATAAAGTTATTGAAATAGCGTAATGATATAGTAAACGTAAAAAAAACATGTATAAGTGGAGACAAAAGAAAGCCAAAATGAAGATTATAAAATTGTTTGGAGTTCTTTTTTATTAATAAAAAAAATAGACGACTACGCACTTTATAAATTACGGAATATGTATTATTTTTATTATTAGTACAACGAGCAATTTGATTAAAAGCTTCAGAATATACTAAAAAATATTCGAGCAAAGAATTGATTGAATTTTAAAATTTGAAAGTCAAATATGAACTATTATGATTAATAATGTTTCATATTTTGATTTATTAATCAGGATATGATTTATACAAATTGATAATCTCATTTCGATGATTCTTTTGATCTAATGTGTCTTGACTAATAATCATATGATTAAATTTTTCTTCACTGAGATTGAAAAATCAGTCAACATGTACTGAACTGATATATACATCTGATTGTTTTTCATGTTTTCGATTTCTTTCTTTTTATGAAAATATAGTATTTATCATATTTCTTTCTTTATATCAACTTGTATTCTAGTATTAAAAACAAAAGAAAAAAGAATTCCTACTCTACCATAAACGATTATCTGAATAATAGCATCACATATTCATTTTCGGTAAAATAACGCCATGTATATTATCTCATTCGATCAGATTTTTAACGAAATCAATCATTTTATTCTTCATTACAATCTTCGCTGAATTAGTTTAATTCATAAAAATAAATGTGTTGATTTTCCACTACGATAAGTCAATATAAAAATGACAATTTATTCTCATATTATTAGATAGTGATATTAACCATTGAAATATTTTCAACAATGAAAAATAAAAATTTAGAAACTGATTAGAATTAATTATTTCTTCGTTAAAATTGCTAAAGACTATTTATATAACACTCTTCTTGAAATAATGTTTTTTAGAATGACATAATTTCATGCTAAAATAAAAATAATGAACTAAAAATTTAATCATTATAACACGATTAGTGTTCATTTAAATTTTTAAAACTTAATCTGTATTTTAATATTTGCATAAACATATTGATAAAATATAGCCTTGACGAAAACAAAATTCAATAGTTATCTGCATTTTTTCTAGTAATCTTTGATTTCTATTTATTGCCAATAATTTATACATGACAATGAATCAATAAAAGAATACTTTTCTAACAGAAAACAATTATTATTATTATATAAGGAGAAATGTTAAAAATTTGAATAACAATCATGTCTCAAATCTTTCGTTTCTCTTTGATTTACACAAGGAAAAAAGAACGTATTTATCGAATTGTTTCAAAAAATGATGGTGTTTCAGTCAATTTTTCATTTGATACATCTATTAAAGCATAATAAACTTGTCGAATAAGTGGTCCATTATTTATTATAAAACGTCCAAGAATGAAAACTGCAAATATAATATGTATGATAGCTATAATAATAATTTCGTAGAATCTTGGTTCGTCTTGTCTAGTTCGAGCTAAATGGAAATAGAAATTACAGTTTATTTTTTTTAGATTAGATAAAAGTTGAATGAAACCTCTTGGTGTTAATGATACAATTTTTGTCTCACGATTTAATTCACGAATTTGCTTGATAAATAAAAAAAATAAAAATAAGATAAAATTTTCTAAATCTATTCTTGCTTGTTCACGTGCAATAGTGTCAGAATATGTTGAACGCATTCTTAAGTTGAGAGGATGTGAATAAGAAAGAAAGAAAACTGACAAGAATATATTTTTTGTCATTTTTTTTAGATTTTTGCTTATTAATGAGTAGAAAAAGAAAAGATGGAATGACGTCTTTTTTTTTATTTAATGTCTAACATTAAGCATGCATTGAAGTAGATAATAAAGTCGGTAATAAATAGGCACAACATTATTTATCTAACATCCCTCATTGTATAATAGATAGGTTAATACAACATCGTCATTTACTTTGCACTTTCTATATTTCTTTTATAAGTACTATTTTTATATTAAAGAAACTTGAACTATTCTTTTAGAAAGTCGCATTCTATAATGTTGTATTTAACATTGGTGCAAAGAAGATTTAATTTCCCTTTAATTGTATTTTTTCTTATAAGCGGATAACTGGAATGTTTTATTTTGTATCTTCAGAAATGTCACCCGACTAATACTTTATGAGTGCAAAGATTCGGAGAAGTTTTTTTTTTTTGCCATTGAGTATCTCTTCGTATCAAGAGACTTTTGAATTAACGAAGAGCAAGTATCACATATTTATAATAAACTAAAAAACTAGTTATTAAAACTATGTTTCATAAAGAGTCAATAAATTTTTTAAGAGAGCATCTCCAAGGGAGCAATGGAATCGAGGCACTGGTCAAAGTTTAAATTTTTGAATTTTCAGATGCATTCGAAAGGCCATCATCTAAAACCATCAAACGCAAATTTTTAGGTCATTTCGATGTTTTATTGTAAAGTTAGTTTTGATCAAGGGGGAAAAAGCTGATTTAAATCAGCTGTAAACTCATTTTAAATCACAAAAATCAAGTAAAGTCATTTTAGATCACGAAAATCATTTTAACTCATTTTAAATCACGAAACTCACTTTAACTCATTTTAAATCACAAAAATCACTTTAAGTCATTTGTAACTCGCTATAAATCGCAAAAATAGCGAGCTGTAAGTTTATGATTTAAAATGAGTTTATGTGAGTTTTATGATTTAAAATGAGTTTATGTGAGTTTTGTGATTTAAAATGAGTTTACTTGAGTTTCGTGATTTAAAATGAGTTTATCTGAGTTATATGATTTAAAATGAGTTTA